AACATACAGGTGCAAACAATTTTTTGAGTGTCCATGCTGATGAAGACCAGGTGAGGTCCAAACCGGCAAGGTGTTTTTTATTGAGCTGCACGATTAATATTAAAGACATTTACATTAATGGGGCATGTAAAACTAGGAGTTCCTTCATCTACAAGACTACACATCCAACAAGGAATGTAACAAGTCAACTCTGTAAGAGATTTCTCCTAGACTGTAGAGGTTTCACAATTAGCCTGACAAGTGACAGGCTCAAGCAAAGCAAAAGAGTACTGGACAGCAAACATTACCCTTGAAAATTTAAAGCTGTGGGAGAGATGGGCAGATTGGATTCACACTAAACCTCAGTTCTCCTAAATTCAGTTGTATGTGCAATTTGCTACTTTCTGCCTGTACACAGATGTTCACAAACATTTCTTTTCAGTGTCTTTTACAGATTTTATTCACATGTTGAAAAGCGTTTTTATGTACAAATCTTTCCTGCACATGCTCACAAAAATTGTGACCATGTACATGTATTGGTATTTGTATTAAATTGCCATTCATTTGAACAACAGGCAGTAGGTCACACTTGTTAAGTTTGGTGTAATGTTGTGTGCCACCACTAAAGGGCAGCCTTACTGTGTGCTGAGGAGAAGAAACAGGAAAAAGAAAAGTTACAAGACATGTTTTAGGCTTTTAGACAAAACTGTGGCTTATTCCTACCATTTATTTTTTAAATAAAATCTAAAACCACTAATATTTAGTATGAATAAAGAGGGGTTTCAAATAAGTACTGTACAGAGATACATGTAAGAATTTACAATTTTCAGCTGCTTTGTCAAGTCTAGCAACGCAACTTATCACACATTGTCAAAAGTAGTTTATATATAAGGAACCAGAACCAAGCGATGTATCCATCTCATTATTTTTTAATCAACCTAGGATAGTAGTGAATGTTAGGAGCAGTTTATGTTTCCTGAAAAGCACACAAAAAAATACTGTTGTCCTTTTACAACAAACCACACACCTGCATCAATCTCATCCACTGCTGTCTGCATTCTCGTGGCGATTTTGGATTTATTATTTTTCCTGCTCCACTACAGGTTGATTCTCCAACTAATGATGAACACAACACAAAACTGAATTGCAGAAAAATGGGCAGTAATTCAAGAGGTGTGGAAATTTTCAACTTCTAAACAGTGACTTAAAAAAAAGACAATATATAAATAAAAGCAGTTTCAATCACAACAATTTGAAAATAATATCAAAGGCTAACATAATCCAGGGAGTTATATCAACTGTACCAAAAAGCAAATAACAGAACCTTTAGTACCTGTAAAAAGCTTTTATTTTCAGCTGAATAAGCCATGTTTTATAATTTTCTCTTCAAACTATAAGAATATTGTTGATTATATACCCATTAGAGTATATATTTAGGTGGTGAGGTTATTTCATAATGTATGCAAAATTCACAAAGTTTTACTATAAAAATATAAAATAGCCCTTTTCACACATGATTAAAATAGTAATTAACTGCAAGCAGAACTACACAGTGAGTGTTTCTGCTTAGCCAGCTGATGTTATCTACCCCGGTCTAATTGCAAGCGCTGCTTGAATTCCAGTGATTTTGCTCTCAAAGCTTAACTGAAACAGTACTTGAGCTAAATCGGTCAAACGGACGGAGAGGTGCTGTATTTTCACATAAGAGCCTCAAGATGATCCCTCTGATACCGACTGGTTATAATTTGACACTTCAATGAGATTGTGGTCTGGATCTCTGAAGTACAGAGAGGTGATGGTCCCCACAGCTCCGCTCCTCTGCACGGGACCCTCTTCTATCTTAACTCCACAAACCTGTAAAGGAGAAGCAAAAACAAAAACTGACACCATATTCCCAAATGGCAATGAAATCTGACAGTGGACTTGAGGTCAAATGATTTTAAATGAGTGGTCACCTTACAAGATTAAGATTGACACTAGTAACTCAGGGCAGTCTGGGGTACTGGGTGAAGTACCTTCAGATGTGCAGCTACTGTAGATAGAGGCGTTGTGGTGATGAGGCACAGATCTGCAGATCCTGAGGTTGGGTGCTTGGCTTTAGGCTCAAACTCCTGTCCCAGCTGGTGAAGGTTGAACTTCTGCTGCCCAAAACCCAAAGCCTTACGGTCTCCCTTGAAATTGCAGAGATGGCATGTATGGGTGCTGAGAAGTATCTGAAAGGTCCCTCATAACTGACTGAGTGGAGAGGGCTTCCATCAGCATGTCCCCAAAGCCTGCCACCTAGTGGGATGTTCTTTCACACCAAAAATGCAAAAATGTCCCCATGTGGAAATAATGCACAGGCTGATTTTTTTTCCAGACTCAAATGTTCAGCGCTCTTAAACTTTACACTAAAAACTTGAGCTGTCACTGGTCCTACAAGTCTGTGTTTCATTTTAGGTCAGTTTCTGGTCATTTCACTCTACACCAGGAGTGGCCAACCCGCGGCTCTTTGCCTGGTTTCATGCGGCTCTTACGTTCATATCGAAGTTTGTGTTTTTTTTATGTGCGTGTTCGCTTCGCTTGAGTTCAATACGGTATTTTCGTCAAATGCGCATGTGCTTGAGATGAAAATCGTCAACTACATCCGCACACTTGCGCTTAACCACAGGCAATTGAAGAATCTCATCGCTGAGCTGGACCAAGGGCTTCCAGGTGACCTGCCGCTGCACTGCACTGTGAGGTGGCTGTCAAAAGGCCAGGTACTCTCTCGCTTCTTTGAGCTTTTGGATACCGTGAAACTGTTCATGGAAGAGAAGGACAATGACTATCCCGAGCTCTCGGACCTCAAGTGGATCATGGATCAGGCCTTTTTGGTCGACATGCTGTGTCACTTGGACAGACTGAACCTGAACCTGCAGGGTAAGTTAAAAATGCTGCCTGACCTGGTGCAAAGTGTGTTTGCGTTTGTCAACAAACTGAAGCTGTTCAAGGCGCATATTCAAAAGGGAGATTTAACGCATTTTCCCACTCTGCCAAAAGCAAATATTGTGTTTTCTACCCTGAAACACGTGAAATCAAAGCATCGATCTGTTCTGACTGACACCCATGTGAAAGAATTG